CCATTGTGCCAATTCGTCATATCCTTCCTTGCTCAAGCCGCCAACATTAATAGTAACCACGCCAACATCACTGGACTGTATGGGAGTAACAGATTGTGCGGGCTGCTGAAGTGGCCAGGATGGCAGGTTGGGAACAGCAGTGCGAGGCCGGGCATACCGAGCCTGATTGGGATCATTCGGCTGTGGACCGGAACGGAGCGGTATTGGTTTTAGCTCATCGTGGTGTGTGTATAAGCGATTGCGATACCATGTGGTCCCATGTTTTTGCAATCGACGTTGTGCTCTGAGAAAACTGCGTTTGACGATAAAGTCTCCTTGTTCTTTGCGTTGTCGGTGTAGCTTCGCCTGATGGCGACCGGGGAGCACCGTTTGCGCGGCTCCCGGAGCACCCACCGAAGGTGCTCCAACCCTCGCTTCTACCCCTGAGGCTCTAAGAAGTTGAGACAGTAGGATGAGCATCCATAGTCCCCAGGGGCCCCCGGACTTGGGACCGGGGCGGCAATAGCGAACTGGTGGGGGGGTGTTTCGGAGTGTAGTGGTACTGAGTAACCTGAGGCTGACTCTCGTGTATGAATAGAGGCATCCACATGTATAGCAGCACCAAGGGTGCAGGTATCGCATCCAAGAGACGGCGGTTTGCACAAAGTATGTACTCCAGTGACAGGTGTGTCGGGTAGTATGCCGGGCAACAAATGTACCACACAAAAGCACTGTGGCAACAGCAGGGGCCTGATCGCATACGTTCCGCCATTGTGATCGTAGTGGCTGTTGTAGCAGGTACGAACAAGTCTCTGCAAGGCAGGAGTGAATCTGAGACCAGAACTCTTGCAGCAGGTATATAACCATCCATAAGATCACCGGACCTGACAGAAAGATGTGGATAAGAGGACACTGCATTTTGTAGGCACCACGCAGACATCGAGCAACAATTGCCAGGGGATCTGACCGGGCTGGCACGATGCCAGCAAAGGTCCACCAATACATAAGGAGGACCATGTACAGACCTGTCACAGGTGCAATGTAGCCGCACAGAATAAAGCATGCGAGACAGCTGAGGGCTGCATACGGTGGATGCTTTTTCATATATGCAGAGGAGGCATTTGAGGCCGTCGTAGGTGCATGCGATAGCGAAGCATCCGCAACATCTGTACTCGAAGAAGCATTCTGCTGCTGCTGTATGCGTGCACGCTGTATAACACTGTGTCTCCTGCTGGCTGCGGATCTTTGCATCTCCTGAAGTTGATCGAAGCGGAGCTCCATGATTTCCTCCTGTGGGTCGGCACCAGCAGCTGTGGATGGGACTTTGCTCGGGGGCTTGCTCGGAGGACTCGATGCTGCAGCATTTTTCCCAGTGGCTTCATCCTGGCGCGAGGTTGTCGTAGTCGGAAGAGGAGTCATACTGGCCACAGGGTTTGCTGAGGTTGTGGTCGTTCGAGCAGATCCCTCGGAAACACCATCCTTGGCAGGCTCGCGGGCACCTGCTCTGGCCTTTTGGCGTCTTTTCCAGGGGGCTGAAGTCAGCACTGCATCAGCGGCTTGGCGGCGAAGATCATCATGTTTGGTACGAGTGTCCTTTGGACCAGGAGCAGAAGTCTCCTCCGGGTTGTCTGTAGCATTTGTATCTGGCCTTCGGGGACGAGCTTTGGACTGGACTTTGAGACCGCATCTGCCCACCTGCACCGCCTTGTTCACCATCTTGGGGGGTCGCCTTGTCTGAGTACTGACCGATATACCACTGGCAGTTTCACGTAGACACCTTGGTGGCGTAGGAGGTCTCCTTGAGCTTCCTGTCCCGGGAGTAGAGGATGGGCTACGAGCCCGAAGTCCAGTTTGTTTGATAAGGACCCCGTCCGAGAATTCACTGACCACTATACTGGATGCAACTGGTCCACGAGCTGTCGGATCATTGTATGGTGTACTTGCCACGACTGCATTCCCTGGGCCATCGGCGGGTTTGCTTGTCTTTGACTTGGCCTGTAGCTGCCGATGTCGTGGCAAAGGTTCACGTGGCCTGAGCTCACCAGCTGATGCACTGGCGGAGGCACCAGCAGTGGTGCGAGTCATCGGCGAAGAGGGAGTCTGATTTTGCTGGTCGGAGGCCTGCATGGGTCGACGTCTTGGCAGTGCATCTCTGACCTTAGCCCGCTTCGCCAAAGGTTCCACTATGTCGGCAGAGTCATGAGGCTTCGGAGCGCCGCGAGAATCTCTCCCCATGCTTGCAAGCACCACGCAAAATAGTTCAACTCTGCTCGTTAAGGCTACACAGAATAAGTATGGCCAGCACCACCATCTGTGTTCCGAGGTGACATATATCACAGAATGCAAGAATCGACAATATCGCTGTAGGGCCTGGTTGTGTACATACTGGCCATAGCAACCGCTGTAATCCCAAATGCAAACAGCAACATGCATGTCGGAACGTGCAAGGGCTTGCACACCGCGAGTCACAACTGACCATTGTGATTGCTGAAGCAGTCGAGCCTGCTGGTGTCGACTGATAGAATCGGCTGGCCACAGACCTGGGCAGTGAGCAATGGACAGCAGGACAGTAGGGTGAGCTAGCACAGGGTGTGGGCCAGGGTCCGCGATCACAGGCAGCCACAGACCTTGACATGCAGCTGTTGCTAGCCAGCAGAAGCTTTCGGAGGGTACACGTGAGGACAGGTCGAGCCTTCCCCGGGTCACTGCTGTATGCAGGCTGCAAAAGTGTACATCAGAGGCAGAATGAGCTGTGGTCCAACCTGGCATATCATGGTAGACATCCTGTGACATACGAGGGGACAACAGGTCCACTGCGTGCCTACAGGCTGGTGGCCCGCATGGCCGAATATAGTCCGTGCAACAGTGGGTGGCCAAAGCAATCCTGATCAAGGTCGCGGGCATTCCGAGCGATGCACGATGTATACTGGCCAATATGAATGCCCGAAGCCAGGACTGCCTCTCTGGTAGTTGCCGCAAGGAAATACTGAATAGACACAGGTACGACCTTCCGGTGAGGTCAGTTGCTGCACTGGGCTTGTTCAAGAACGTAGCTGAGTCCCTTGCCGTCGCGAAAATATCACAAACATATGGGCATGTCCTCTGTGAGGGGACAGAGCTGGCATAGGAATAAAGCTGCATAGCGTAAGCAGATCTAGATCCCGCCTCGTCCACGGAGTTTGCAAGTGCTGCACGGGGCGACAACAAGGCCAGCCAAAGTACATGTATATCATGCACCGAAGATGCCAACTGTATCCATGTAGAATGTGCCGTCATATGGTCTTGTTGTCTTCGGGAGTCACATAAGCACATGTCACACAGGACAGACACGCCTACAGTGGGCCATGGTGGCTTGTTCCAACGAAAACACGGCAAGCTGCACGCAAGTGAATCTGACAACTGCAGGCATCTGGCATAGCACCGATGAGTAGCACATATGTCATGCTGCACTGTAGGAATTTGGCCTGAAGGCGCCTGTCGTTGCCTATTGGTGGTCTCCCGCGCCGGCTCAAGTGATTCAAAAAGCGAAGACCTGAGTACAGCAATGCAGAAGGCATCATGATGCCGGTAACGGTTGTGTGTTGAGACAGAGACCAGTGTAGGTCCCACAAGTAGACTCCCTGAGGCACGAAACAGACCATAGCAGTAGCATGCAGCATGGGGCCATGCATGAGTCGTCCTGCGTGTTGTGGATGGATGGAGCGGTCTCCACTTCACACACACCTGAGGGTCATCAGCAGTGCAATGATTGCAGATAGAAAAGGCACTAGAGGGCCTAGTCCATAGCATGAAGGTCTGCGGAGGAGCTGGCTGCGGTTGCTGTACTGCCTTGCCAAAATCGCACACTGAATACATACCGGACTGAAGCATGTGCGGTAGAGCCATGGGCTGGCCTGCAGGACCACGCAACAGGAAATATTCTGCAAATCGCGAGAGTGCCATATCCAGCCGGTTGGTACTCATATGAGTTTCTGCCCGATACCGTACCGCCGCAATGACATCTTCCAGAGCGACAAAACAAATAGCCTGATTGAGGTTGTCGTTCAGCTGCGATAGAATCGTCGGCCATTCCTGGGCAGTCGTTGGGGCATCCTCTTGCGACGAATACCACATGAATAAATCCAGTTGGTCAAGCAACTGCTGTAGCGGGGCGTGTACCGCAGAGTCCAGGCCATGGAATAAATGTTCCACTGGATTGCGAGACCTCTCGGAGGCATTTGCAGCAGATGGCTGTGCAGGAGCAGTAGTGAGACCATACAGAAGACTCTGACTGTCGTGGCCCTCCATTTGTCCGACACCAATGACGTCCAGCTGTTGGAATGGCCCCATCTCCTGAGTCGGATCTGCTGCTGGCCGATGCTCAGAGCGCTCTGAGCGATGCCTCTTCGGGCTTGCGTGTACTGTGCCAATCAGAGCACAGACAACAATCAGCCCAAAAGTGGGCAGAATCCTTGTAAAGGCACGTGTCATGGCTCAGAGAAGTTCACGGACAGCAAGATAAATCTGTGGGTAATGCACTGCAGTCCAGCCTTCGAGCTGTAGGGCCGCGTGTGCGGGGAGCACTTCAATAGCCCACAGTAATACAGTAGTGGCCGGAATGTCAAGCCAAATGTTGTATGCCAGCTGCCGAATATGTGCCGAAATCGCAGATGTAGACAGCTCTTCGACCAGCAAATCAAGTGCTACTGCGCGAATATGCAGTGCAGGCGAAAGAAATACAGTGGGCAGTGAAATATTGCAAGTGCTGTGGGCTTGCCCAAATAATAAGCAGGCCACTGACCAGTTTCCAAATACACAACCAAACTGCAAAAATCGCCAGCAAAAGCCTTTGGAAAAACCACGTGAAAAAGGTTCACCAAGCGCAGAAAAGTCAGAGAGCTGCACGCACCCGATGGCTTTAGTTACCCCCAGCCGCCCCTCTAGCTACCGCGGGACACCGGACAGCCGGAGCCCACAACTACCCCACCCACACTCACAGAAAACAGCGCTAGAGCCGAGAAGCTTGTTCCCTGTTGTGCCACATGTCGGCGAATTGGTGACGTCCAAGCTGACGGTGAGTCCGTTGCCTCTGCTTGAAGGCTCGTCGTAAAAGCCACTCCATTTTTCCAGTATCTGAATGGTAACTCTGGTGCGAATATTGGGATTGTCATTGCATGGCTACAGGCTCTGTACTTTTCAGATCCATTCCAGGTCCGAGCGTGCACCGGTCTTTGACGTGTTCGGTGCTGCAGAGAACGGAAGCCATGATGCTGACGTGCACCCAAGCCTGTCGCACGACACACTGCCTGTGCGAGGCATGCAAGTACTGCGCAGCGTGCAAAGTGAGGTGGACATACGCCGAAAGAAGCAGCAGAGTTCAATGGGTCGGCACTGGGCACCGCTCAACATGTCACCGCCCCGGCCAGGTGTCGCAGCTGTGGGGGAAGCTTTCCGCCTCCGGCTGGGAAGAGCAGCTAACGGCTCTCCGAAACGGTTTCTGCCTCGGGAACCAGTCCGTGCTGGTGCGGCTCCGGGAGACTTTGGCCGAGCTCGATGCCTGGAAGGCGCAGGAGCCCTTTTGGCTGGAGCAGGGCAGGGCGATGGGCTTGCGGCTTGGCTGCACCTTTCGTCTACGACTTTGGTGTAGGACTCTCAGTTTCCTCCCTCTTCTCGTCTAAAGATGCAGGTGGGCTGAGATGGAGCGGACACACACTCTCCTCATGTTCGGGCCATCCGTCCGTCCTGGACAGGCGACGTGGACTTCTCATTTGCCGACATTGCAGCATTCTCTCTATACACGGTCTGGAAATACTCTCATTGGCCAATTCGTCGCATCCAGAGGCATTGGTGAAGTAAGCATGTCAGCTACAGATCTCACATGGGCGTCCAAAGTTCTTAACACCAAAGTGTCAATTGCACACTTCCATTCTGTGCAGGCAGTTGGGTGGATGCAGATGTGGTGGCACACGTCCTCCTGTTTGCACTGCGGCAGACGGAGCCACAGAGTCACCCAGTTGACTGGCCGGTCCTAGATGTTGGCGCCAACATCGGATCCGTTACGATCCTGCTTTTGAAGCTTGGTTTCCCCGTCCATGCCGTAGAGGCTGACAAAGGCAATGCCCTCGCGATTCGCTGTGCACATCAAGCACGGGTGTTTCAGGCCAGTATGCGGGCCTGCCACCGGCGAATTGGGAGCACTTCCCGCTGCAATGTCCCTGAGGGAGCGCTACGCCTTTCCGAGGTTGCGGCCAGTGATTCCGCTGGGGAGCTCCTCCTGTCCGTGCCCACGAGCGGTAAGCCCGGGGCTGGCGACGGTGCTTTTGCGCAGGTGCGACGGAGTGCAGCGGATTTCATTAACGTGGACGCTGCTGGGGGGAGGAGCTTCGAGAAGGTGCATGCAACGACCATCGACCAACTTCTTGCCACGGAGCTTGTCTCGCCACGCATCATAAAGGTGGATGTAGAAGGTTTTGAGATGCAGGTGCTCCGGGGAGCAAAGCAGGCGCTGCGTACAGCGGAGTATTTGTTCACCGAAGTTTGGCCAGCAGCGCTGGAGACGCATTGCACTCCGTGGGAGTTTATGCAACAACTGTCCGATTTCCCGTATGCCTACGAAGTGAGAACTGAAGCACTGCATGTGTTTCTGCTGCCTTTGGATTTGTCTCAACTTCTTCAGGGGGACAGTTGGTCTGCTGCCCCACTGTATAACACCACCTTTGATGCCCTATTCAGCAAAAATCGTCTCCCCGTGCAGACAGCACAAAGCTCACTGCACCTGCGCCGGAGTTTGTGGGTCTCGGTGCAGTCGAGGAGTTCGGATCGCAGCCCGGCAAAAGATTTGCACCTCGGACGGAGAGTGTATGCTGACCACCAGTCCCCTCCCCGCCAAACCGGCAAATTCCTTACAACTTCACGATCCTGAAGCTCAAAATCTATAGCCTAGCATGAGGACGTGACAGTCTAAGGTCGAAGGCCCAACAAGTAAGGTCGAAAGCCCTGGCCCTTTCAACTATGAAGAAGCATTCTTTCAACAGAAGGGAGTTCGTGCGGCTTTTTAGTTTTATAAAGGAAAGGGGACTTGGCGAACATAAGGGATTGCTATGATAATAGATGATCATAAATTTTAAATTCTCGGGAATTTGTGTAATAAGTTGCACGAAGTTCTATGATAATTCCACGATACGTTTTACCTTACTGCGAAAGCGCTATTCGTGAAAGAGATCGGATTTTTGGTAGATATATAGAAATTTCTAGAGTCTGGAAAGAAATTTAGAATAGATTTTTGGAGGTTGCTCGTAGAGAATATGGTGAGGGAAATCTATATAAATATATATATATATATATATATATATATATATATATGGAAATTTGATTCATGATCTGGAATGTCTTATTTTGATTATTTGATACTCGGGGTTAAATCATTAGTGACGACTATTGATCGAGTAATATTCATATTAATCGAGCATCGTATATGATTTCGAAATTCTCTTCTAAATGAATTTAAAATTTTATATAT